CCAAAGACGTCGAAGAAGCGCCGACGATGAGACATATAGACATTCTTTCCATGTGGTGCGCACGTGGCAGCCATGTGGCGCAGCACCATGAGTCAGGCAGGCGCAGAAAAGCGCCTGCATATTTTGCATGCCTGTTTAGGCAACCGGGCAGGGGCATTTTTCTAAAAATCGGGACCCCATTTGCAGCCCCCACTACCCGGCCCGTCTGTAAATTTTCACGCCGGTCCTGTGAGGCAACGCCAGGATCATAGCAACTAGGGTTGATACCCTCTGCTTTCCAGACCTTTTGAAGAAGCTCTGGAGCAGCCCATCTAGTCCTTCACTGGATTCGGATGGCTGCTAGGTCCTCGCACAAATACAATTATGAGTGTTCGCGTTTCAAATCCATCGCCGGATCCTACGCGGTCGCAGGCTAATGGAGCGACATCATCTTCTATGGCGCAGCTGCCGATTGCTGCGAGCCGAGTTCGCACAAAGAAGCTCTCCCACAAGCAAAAGTGTACGTCCGTGAAAAAAAAATTGGGAGTTATTTTGCCACGTTGCACTTAACTCCCAGTTAGATCAGGCTAACATCCAGTATGTGTACAGCGTGGCTCGCAGCTGCCTGCAGCAGCTAATGCGCTCATAAATGGCATTGTGCCGGACATTGACGGTGGCGACAACCAGCAGGACTCGACGTTTGGTGTCGAGTCACACGAGCTGGTTGAACACCACCTTCAAGCCGCACTTTCGTCTAGTCAACTCGAGACAGTACAGGGTGCGCAGGGCGCAAATGCGCCAAACAAACCTGCGTACCACATCCCCACTCCCAAGAGCAACGAGGTCCTTACTCAAGCTCAGTACGATTCTGAATACCCTCCCAACTCATATTCGGATCCGGTTACCTATGTGCGTTTCTCAGACACAGTTGAGTGTTCCATTCGTGGCGCGCCCTACTGTATGGACGAGGATGATCAGACGTGGCTGGATCGTCATAATGATAATGCGCGCAAGGAGTTAAACCAATTGAGCGAGAAAGCACGCACTGCTCGAGCTCAAGACCCTGCCTTTGTTGTCATATCGCAAGATGTATTTGAAACCGTGATGTCTGTCTTTGAGATCACAACATGCGAGAGCTATCCTTTCCTCAAGTTGGACTGCTCTGCAATGCCCAAACTGGAAGATTTGCTTCCCGAGTTTGAGCCTGGTTCGAATACTAGCAAGCATGCGGTCCCCGAACTCCCGCCACTTGAAGGCGATGCGCCCGACACGTCTACTGCATGGTCTCCCGCCAACCCTTTTAAGAACCTCTCTGAGCTAAAGCCAGCTGCTCGAGCAATTTATCCGTGGTGGAAGATTCGCCGCGAAGATCGGCAAGGCAAACCAATTGTTCCAACACTAAACACGGACGACTCGAACGATAATGATCCCTATGTCTGTTTCAGGCGCCGCGAGGTGAAAACTGTACGCAAGACGCGAAAAACAGATATCCTCCAGCTGGAAAAACTTGTGCGGCTCAAGTCTGAACTGGAGCAGGCTACTAAGCTTGTGCTTATGGTCGCACAGCGTGAGCGCTACAAGGAGCGGCAAATCCAGTACTCGCGTGACAGCTGGGACCTTGTGGGAAAGCTGCTGGAGTTCAAGCGCAAGTGGTCTATTCCCGATAGGGCGAAGAACCCAAGCGATGAGGACCTCATGTTCAGCACCCAGTCTGAGGTTTCTGCTGCTGCTGCGAGTGCCGGTGCCGCGCAGCTCTCCAAGAAGAAACGCAAAGCTGAGGAGGCTACCTCAACGACTCTCAAACTACGCCGTCCCAAGACGGAAACTCCTGCTGCAAAGAGCACAGCTGAAGGTGGTATCGGGGCTGGTATGCTTGAACGTATTGATGCAATTCAGACGTTCATTGAACGCGAGACGTTGCATAGGCAGCAGATCGACGCTGGTATCGAAGATCTCACCGATACCACCTTCCAGCCTACGCCTGCGCCACCTGCACTCCGCGCATTCCGTCCGATCCAGTCGAACAACAACGATACCCACTTTTGGTCCAATCATCCGTTTGCACGCCTTGGTCGCCAGCCATGCTTCCGACGCCGTGTTGGCCGTGGTGGTCGAGTCTATCTTGACCGCCGCCCATTGGTTCCCAGTCCAGCCCCCGCTAGCCTGATGGCTTGGCCTCAAGGACGCAGTGACAGCACGCCTACTACTTTCAGATGTGCGCTTGCGTCCGAGTGGGCACGCCGCGCAGAAGCGCAGCCAAACTCGACTCTGTCCTACTCTGATGCCTATCAGTCTGCTATGGATAACCTGTATCCTCGTCTGGCCGGGCCATTCGCCTACACTTCATGCCTGAAGCCCGAGTTGCTGCCTACCCCAGACCTTTCGTGGGGCGCTGCAGGGTCCACAAATTCGCATGCGCTGCCATTTGCAGACATACGCGCGAATAGGTCGGAAGCCAGTATGCGCGACTCTGTGGGTCCTAGTGCGGAGGTTTCGAGTATGGCATCAGACTCGAGCGAGCGCTCCCGTTCGTCTTCGTCCTTTGGTGGTGCATCGAGCACCCAGGCAACTGAATATGGTGACGAGGTGGACAAGGGTGATATCTCCGAAGACGAGTCTCAACCTGACGCGGCCGAAATGGCTGAGCGTATTGAGCGTCTCGCTGCTCGGTGGCGTTACGATGAGGATGGAGGACGATGGGCTGGCCTTGGTCTTGTTGGCCTCGGCGGCATGGAAGGCGACGAAGAGGCTGTACTGGACGACTTTGATCCCCGATTCATTCGCTACCGAATGTCGCTTTTGGACGAAACCAATCTCGTCAAGTTGTCAACCGACTGGACATACATGCGCCAGGCTCTCGCTGCAGCTGAAGTACCTGCACCCCCCCATTCTGCCTACCAGCTGCCACCGAAAACCGAGACGGTGGACAGCAACAACACTCTTGCCCGTAATCCTAGTATACCTGCTGGTGTCGAGCAGAGCAAAGACTCTGCCTGATCCAGTTGCCAAAAAGAAAAAAGTAGTATGTACAATAGAGATGTGTACAATAAGCATGGGGATTCTCCCATTTTAGCATTGCAATGGCGCTATGTCTAGGTCTAGTATACGGCGAAGCTTAGAAACCAGGGGGGCGGAGACCCTGAGGCGAATCAGCAGGAATGGCACCCTCGGCACCAGGAGCCATAAGAGGGGCTCCGCCTTGCTGCGAAGCGATCTCCTTCTCCTGGGTAATCAGACGGCTCTCGTCCTCGACCGAAAGGGCGAAGGGCAGGCCGACAAGAAGGGCGGATGTGACGCCAATCCAAATAAGCTTGCCAGTAAGCCAGCCACCCATAAAAGTGTAAGCCCAGGCCACGCGGAAAGTCTTGGAAATAGCGGCACGGGTCTCTGGGGCAAGAATATCACGCAGAGCAGAGATACGCTCCCAAAGAGTCTCGTTGGGCACAACGAGTCCCTTTTCAGTCACCTCATCCTCGAAATCCTCCTGGTCAGACACTAGTAACGCACCTCATCCGACTCATCATCGGTAACCTCCCACTCATCGCCGTCATCGAACTCGGCATTGAGGTCTTGTTGCCTCACCTTCTTGGACTCGTCCTGGACTTCCTCAATCTTGACCATGGTGGTTGTCCTAGTCGTTCTATTCGCGATGTGCGTAAAACGGCATCACGTGAACTCGCTTATGTGTGTCACACAAGACACGCCCTTTGCCCGAGACCGCATGCTAAATTCTGGCGTGAAGGAAACGGAAGATATCGAAGCTGACCTATATGGCCCCACTGAGGTGGTGGCCAACAACACAGAAAATGTGACACCGCCAATGGCGGAAGATCCGCGTGTGGCCTTGAGGATTGCGGCACTCCGCACCCTCAAGTCACGCGGGAAAAAAGACAAGCCTGCTAATCCTGCTGGATATTTGCCATCTAGCGAGCTTGATGAGCCTATCCCGGGACTAGCAGGTAGCTCGTTGCTTGTGTCAAAGCCTCAGCCCGAGCCAGTGGCAGAAGCGAGCCCTGCACCAGCGCTAGCAGATGCGCCCGGAGCTAACTCATCTACTCTTCCTCGACCTCGTCGCCGCGTATACTACGACATTGATGCACCCAAGGACTCTGGTGTGAGTGCTGAAAGCAAACCACGTCGGCAACGACAACGCGTGTCGTATGCCGATGAAGTCACAGCACCAATAGCGCAGTCAGCAGAGCTCGCTGCTCCCCGGTTGGAAGTCCCGAAGGTGACTGCTCCTGTGGAGCCAGTGAAGCGTCCTGCTGCTGCAAAGCCGGACAGATACCCCCAGAGCACGCGCCGTTTCATTGGTGTGCATCAGTCATGGGATGCTATGGTGATTGAGCTGTCAGATGATGAGGATGATGACGGGCCCACAGATGTGGCGCCTGAGCCCCACGCAACTGCGAGCAAGATGCAGACACATGTGCAAAAAGATCTGGAGTGCTCGTCCGTACTTGGGAAGCGCCCCCGCACCGAAAATGACGAACAAGATGAAACCAAGGTTTGTTATGTTGGCGGTGCTAATACCGCTCAGAAATTTAAAGATATTAACGCTGAACCTGTACCAAGATCAGGTATTCTTGGAGCTTTTTCTACTGTATGCTACCTTGGCTCACAGCAGGTGGCTTCATGGGTTCACAGACGAGTCGCGACGGTTCTTGGTCAGTCAGACAAGCAGTGAGAAAGACATGATGTAGATTATCGATTCATACGCCGTTTCCAAAAACAAACAGGATCATAAACGCAGGAGGATATATCTTTGAGAGAGTTAGGAATAGCCGAAAGAACACGCAAACAAAGGAATAATGATCAATGCAACCAGTTAAAATATGGCAAAAAAAAAGAAATGCCCACTGGCTGGATCGAACAACCGACCTCGTCATGCCCGAAGGCGTCTGCTATCAGCAGGAGGTACTAGTGACGCGCTCTACCACTGAGCTAAGCGGGCTTGTGACTCGCTTCCAAATTTAGCTATTTATTACTTACATTTAGAAGTTAAGTAAGCAAAAACTTAATGCCCGTTGGCTGGATCGAACAACCGACCTCATCATAACAAGCAATCGGGAAATCCCAAATTACGAGTGACGCGCTCTACCACTGAGCTAAACGGGCAAACGCTGCTTTTGCCGAGATAAAAATCAATGATAATTGTTAATTTATGAAAGAAGAATCACATGCGGATCATCCTGATTAATTTATAGCATAAAATATTGTGACCCATCCATAGCTTGTTATGTATGTATCATATCCAGACTCTGCCAAAAAAAAATGGTTGTGATCGTGCAAGATAGATGCAAAAAGGATGCATTGAAGCAGGCTTTCTAACTTGATAACGAGCTAGTGACAAGCAAAAGAAAAAGAAATGCCCACTGGCTGGATCGAACAACCGACCTCGTCATGCCCTAAGGCGTCTGCTATCAGCAGGAGGTACTAGTGACGCGCTCTACCACTGAGCTAAGCGGGCAGGTAACACGTGCCCACTGGCTGGATCGAACAACCGACCTCGTCATGCCCGAAGGCGACTGCTAACCGCAGGAGGTACTAGTGACGCGCTCTACCACTGAGCTAAGCGGGCGTGTGCTGTTTGGCTGTCGGAAATATGGTTCCATGTTGCATTCGGTTCCTGACTCTGGCCGGAAGCGTAATCCTGCATGAACTACATGAAATACTTTACCAATTGACATGTTGGAGGGGCAGGAGCATTCCTTCAAGCCGTGGGAGACCTCGGCTCCTCACATCATATATGTCCTTTTGGGTTTCTTTGTCGTATTTGTGAGTGTCTGCTAATGAGTTCGGCATGTTCTCCCTGTTCATCAAGGAGCGGCTATACATGGGTGAAGCTCCATTGTCACTCGCTTTTGGTATCATCATTGGTCCTATTGCTGCAAGTATTTTCACTCCTTCAAAGTGGGGAAATGAACGCTCACTTACACCTGGTGATGAAACGACCAACGAAATAACCGTTGAAGTGATGCGAGTCTGTATTGCACTGTCAGTCTTCTCGGTCGGTGTCGAGGTGCGTTGATTTTTCTTACAAGTTGCCTCGCAAGTATGTCATGCACCACTGGCGCACGCTGGTATTCCTACTTGGTCCAGTAATGGTCTGGAGTTGGCTGATATCTGCCCTTCTCATCTGGGCACTTATTCCCGGGCTCGACTTTTTGAACTCGCTCGTAATCGCATCATGCCTTTCTCCGACTGACCCAATTCTCGCACAGGCAGTTGTTGGTGGCCCGTGGGCAGAGAAGCATGTTCCCTCACATATTCGTCACATGTTGCAGTGCGAGTCCGGCTGCAACGATGGTGCAGCATTCCCTTTTCTGTACATTGCCTACTATCTCACCGTCAATCGCGGGCAGGTCGGCTTCCCCGTCGCCAAATGGTTTTACCAGACATGGGCATGGGAGATCTGTCTGGGTACTTTTATCGGTGCCCTAATTGGTTTCTGTGCACGCAAGCTCATGCGCATTAGTGAGAGGTACAAGCTCGTCGATCGTGAGAGTTTCGTCGCTCAGTATCTGAGTCTTGCCCTCGCTAGCATGGGTCTCAATGTGCTCATTGGAAGCGATGATCTCCTCGCAGCATTTGCATGTGGCACTGCGTTTGCTTGGGACGGTTGGTTCAGCAAGGAGACGGAGGATTCGAACTTTTCGAGCATTGTCGACCTGGTGTTTAACATTGCGACGTTTATCTATATCGGTGCAATCATGCCGTGGCATACGTTTAACGATTCGGAGATTGGCTGCGACATCTGGCGCCTCATTGTGCTTGCGATTCTTGTGCTCCTTGTAAAGCGCATTCCCATTGTGCTCCTTGTGTGGAAATGGATTCCCGACATCAAGACGTTCCGAGAGGCGCTCTTCACGGGCTACTTTGGGCCTATGGGAGTCGGTGCCATCTTCATGTGCACCTATGCACGTCTCATGCTGCCAGAAGAAGTTCCCTATCCCCCTGTCACTACTAATGACACGCTTGCGCACACGATCCAGCCAATTGTATTCTTCTTTGTGCTGTCCTCTGTGATTGTGCATGGCCTTACTGTGCCTTTCTTTGCATTCGGTAAACGTGCGCAAGTGAATCTCTCGCGCACATTTACGACGTATACCACGAATATTACGTCATCCGATGAGCCTGCATGGCTAACCGCTGTTCATCGCTTGGGTCAGAATGAGAGGCCTGAGCTCCCTACGGCTGAACAGCACAGCAGGGATGACCTTGATGACAAGATTAACACTGCTATTCAGTCCATGGAGCAAGAGGCTGAACAGAACAGGCCCCATGAGAGCAAGCATGAGCCCTCTGATCTCGAGACAGGCAAACAAACTCAGGATACGAGTCGTCGCTATCAGAGCGATGAACAGTACGGTGACGGCGGTGATGATGGTGATGATCCGGATGGTGAATGGGGCGGCGAATCTACTATTGAAATGAAAAGGTACCGTGAGTTCCAAAAGCAGCAGGAGCAGGAATGGAATCTGTCGCATAACAACGAAGAAAGGGATGTTACTGATCATCCTCGTCACAATAACAAGTACCCCAAGCTGGCCCACTGGCTGCAAGGTCACGATCTTGTCCTCGAATACATTAGAGGACCGCTCGAAGAGCCTGTTGTTCAGGTTATCAAGCTGACTCCAGATGAGCACAAGATGCTGTACGAAGAAGAAAGCCCTCTTCGTGCATGGATTGACTCGCATACACATATGATGGAGTCGCTAGTTGGCCTTGAATCGCAGGATAGCGAGAAGCATGACTTTCTCGGTATGTGGCAAGACGGTATCAAACGCAAACTCAAGTTTGGAAAGTCACATGAGGATACCCCCAGTGCTGATGACGATTATGACAAGCGCATGCAAGATGCGGAAATCATGTTTGCTGGCCTCAAGGGCCGTGGCCTGGAACGGCGTCGTGCCAGCTCCTCTGACCAGACAGAGAAATCCCTAATGGCGCGTGTTTCGCGCAACCTTAAACCCTTTACAGACACATCGACCACACGTGGCCGTTCTCGCTCGCGTGAGCCTAGTGTTGTTGATCCTCGCCGCGGATCAATTACCAATCGGCTTGGTTCCATGGTACGCTTTTCCACTGCGCGCCGTGAGAGTGTGTCACCCGCTGTAATGACTAGCTCTGACGTGCCGCATGACTTCAACCTGCGAAACCGTCAGGTGCCTCCTACTGAGGCTTCCATTGATCCCCACGCTGATGAACATTACTAATGTGGAGGATCGTTGTACAGTAGTAGTTTGGAAGGACATTTAATATACGTAATATTCCGATTTTTGCAATAATATGGCTGGCGATGATGTCGCACTTGTCCCGTGTACGCCTCACCTAAATGTGCATGGGCTCTTGGTGTGTGAAACTGCCACGGCTGGCCGTGGAGTGTTTGCGTCGCGCGCAATAGAAGCAAATGTGGTCGTTGAAGTCAGCCCAGTGCTCCTTTTTGGTCCTGAAGAGTACCAAGAACATGGAAGACACACCCTTTTGGACTCGTATACGTTTGTGTGGGAGAAGCGGTCCACAGGAAGTACCATGGCCCTTGCACTGGGGCTCGGCTCGTTGTTCAACCACCACCCGACATCCCCAAATGTGTCATTTGAGCTTGACAAGAAAGCTATGGCCATTCGATACCGCACTGTACGCCCGGTTGCGCCTGGCGAAGAGCTGTGCATATGCTACGGTGCCGGGCGCATGTGGTGGGAAACTGATGTGCCAGACAGTCCTCCAACCCCTGTGAGTGAGTCTCACGAAATCGCCATATTTGGCGAAATTGCTCTTGACGAGCCTGATACCCTGCGTCCTGCCAGCATTCCCTCTTCATATACCGCTCCGCTATGGCGGGTCACAGCTTCGCCTGATCCCAATACACTTGTGTTGGAGACATCGATGGCATGGGCTATTGATGTGCCGCCTCGTGCCAGTGCAGCACTTGTGCGTGCAATGCGCAAGCTTACGCAAGCAAAAAAACTCAAGGGCAGCGACGCGAATGAACCATATTCGATAAAGCACCTGCGCAGTTTCAGAAAGGCAAGTGAAGTGATCAGAGAGGATGGCAGCGCCGGAGACGCCTCACTGCTGTCTGCACTCGTGTCTATGGTCGATGCACACCCTGATCCTGCCGAGTTGCGCTCCCTTCTTGAGTCTGCCGGAGAGGATCTGCCTGCAGACATTTCTCTGTACCAAGTTCGCGTGCCATCTGGCCCTGCCCCTAATCGTGCACGCCTCGAGGAATGGATGAGCGTATGGCCTTGTGTTTTTCTTCCCCCAGGAGCGGGCCTGGCCAAGAAGAATAGCATTCCAGGGAGTGACGCAGCAAGGGCCATATCCCTTGTCGACCGAGAAGCTGACAATGCCATGTGGTCTGCCATCGGTCGCGATGGCGTGCCACACGCCAAAGCAGTTGAGGAGGCTCTGCTTCGCTGCTTGAGAAATGCAGAACACGGCCGCGCATCTGGCGAAGCAGTGGGTGTCGGTGTCTATGTTACCTCTCGTTCCTTTGGTGAAGGCGACACGCAGTTGGAACCGATCGATGTTGATGCGTGGGATACACGCACGTCTGAGCGCCATCCACTGCGGCACGCAGTTCCTAATGCTGTGCGAAAAGTCGCAGCGCTACGCAAGGAAAGGGACCACAAGTCAGACGCAGCAAATGGCCAGGACTACCTGCTCACTGGTTTAACCTTGTTTGTGACGCATGAGCCGTGTGCCTACTGCGCCATGGCGCTGATCCACTCGCGTGTCCGCACTGTTTTCTTTGTGCAGCCATCTCCCGGTTCTGGCGGATTCTGTGGCACTCAGGCTGGAGTGGGCGGACAGCCGCAGTGCGATGGAACTGAAGATGGAGGTCCATTTACGATCCACGAACAAAGTGGCCTGAACCACCACTATGATGTATGGAGATGGATCGGCCAGTTCCCGCAGTGCGAACGTGTCAATCTAGATGTGTAATATACTACTCGTCTGTCTCTTCGTCACTGTCGAACTCGGGCTCATCATAGTCCTCTTGGTACGTATCGTCAGAGCCAGTGTCGCTCTCGCCACCGAGATCTTCGAGCGTGATGCGCCGAGACTCCAGTGGCTTGGGAGGCACCAGCCCCTCAAACGTAAGCGACTGG